TCGGGGAGTGTAGTCTTGTCATCGCGCCGCCTTCATCCACCTTCTCGCCACCGTCAACCACCTCCTTATGTTGGTGTGTCTTTCCGCGCCGCATGCTTAACTCCGCGCCGTAACGTCCGAGACACGTCGTTATCGGTCGCTACCCGTCCTTCATCTTTTCGTCCACGTTGCCCGTCGTCATCGTCCTTCGTCATCCACATCCGTGTGTACGTCGTCGTCGTCGTCATCGTCCTCGGTGTGTTCGTCGTCGTCCTTCTCCTCGTGTCCGGTCGGAGAGAGAGAGAGAGAGCGGAGGCTCGCCGCCGCTGCCGCCGCCACCGTGTCGTGTCCACGACCGCGCTATATTTGGCCGATAACGCGCCGCGCGCTCCGCAACATATTGCGCGGCCCTCCGCGCGCGGATCCTCGCCTGGCGCGCCGCGAGTCTCTCCGGGCGGCCGTCGTCGTGGCACGCAGCCCGACGCCCCGTCGCCGCGGCTCGCCGGAGGCCCCGTTGTCGAGCATCCGCCGCGCCGAGGTCCGGCCTTCGTGTCTCGTGCCCGACCGCGACGTGAAATTCCTCTCGGCGCCGCTCCCCACGTTGTTTTGTCCCGTGAAAGCTCCCCGCACGCGCGTCGCCACAGATCTCGTACTCCGGTTGCGGTGGGACGGTGGGATACCCGGCAGCAGTTCGTTCGGATACTTGGTCGTACAGTGCTGCATACGGAGACACGGTTCGAGTCGAATGGTCCTCTCCTGATCGTTTGTTCTGTTGTGGGACACCTGTGTGGTCGTTGTCATGATAGTTTTGCAAGAACATGAAGGGTCAATGTTGTACAAAGCATCCTAGCCTAAGCACAAATAAATTATTGTAGCTTAATTATATGGTATATATAAATTTTTATATTGCATATATATCATATAAAAATATGTCGGCTGAGCATTGTTCTATCGAAAATGACTAGAAATGTTTCGGTATAGTGCAACTGATATTTTGTCGGACCGTAGTAGAGTTCTTATCTGTTCTTGGAATAGATATATTTGATATTTAGACAGTCTTTATAGAGTTACAATTGAGCGTTAGATTAATCGTTGAATCGTAAGCACGATTGTATAAGAAAGTCCATGTATGATGTAATAACTAGACGTATCATTGCGGAGAGTCATATTTAATGCAATAACCGGGACATGTAGCTTATAACCAAATTAGGTTAGAATTTCAGATGTGCCGTTTTCTAAAATTCAAGTAGGATTTCAACTGTGTTGTACTAGTTTGAAATATTGTGGAAAAATAGACAGTGGAATTTTCGTTGATGTAAATTACCGTTTTGCAAAATATTCTGTTGCGTATAAATTTTATTTATTAGAACAATGAGCGACGATTGTAACACATGTGTGAACTTTGATAACGGTGTAAAGGTGAAAATTACAGACATTCTTCCCGTTTGCAGGGTACGTTTACATGAATGGGGACATCGGGAAGCTGCCACCAGGGGCGGTCTACCCAGCCACCCCTGAACCTCTGGGTCCACAGGTTGCGGGCGCAATTGGTGGTGGTGTGCCTAATATAGACTACGGAGTCATGAACGGTGCGCCGAGCGGCAGTGAATTGATTCTTGACGCTGGTGTCGGCAGTCTAGAACCATCGCCCCAACACGCTATAAGCATGCACGGAGGTGCGGTTGGATACAGCCCAGTGGATGTCGCCGCGTTGGGTGACGCTTCTGCCGCTCCACCATCTGTACCAATGACAGATCTAAATGTCCCTGGTATACCTTTGGAGCAGCTCAAGCAGATGCTCTCCTCTCAGCTCGAGTATTATTTCTCCAGGTAACGAAAGCCTGAAATCTAAAATTTCCCGTTTTACAATTGCACGAAATATTGCACAATGATGATTTTGCAAATACATACATTTGCATCGATTACATGTGTCAGTTTTTATTGTTTCCTGAAATGTGTTACAATGTGTTAACACATTGCAAGGTTTTTTACCACAATCATAGTCGCAACCTTCGACTCTTCGACTCTTCGATCACTCTTTTATAAACACAGCATACATATAAACAAGATACGTATGATGTGGCGTAGGATCGAACTTGTGATCCGCTGGAATGGATTATGAGTTGACCGCCCTTACGCGGAGCCACGCGTCTCATCCGAGTTTATTTTGACTTTCTTCTCGTAATGTCCTTAACTATTTTCTAAAAAAACTGACCTTTGATCATACGCATTGTGTTATTATATAATAATTTTAATGATTTAAGTAAAAGAAAACTACTATTCGAAAAGTGTTACGGTACATCTGGTGGCTAAACTTTTAGCTAAGTAAAAAATAAGAAAAGAATTTTAGTAATCTTAAAGTAATTTCATACATATATGTATGTATCGCACATGAAAAATATGATCTTAAAGCCAGAAATTTTCAGGAAAGTTATTTATATAAGTTGTTTTCTTTGCAACTAGAATGAGAGTCCAAAAAGCTATATATTAATTAATATCTGAACAAAACTTAATTCTTTTACATATACAATATACTTCATTATTACGTACGTTTTGATCTAGTCTTTGGGATGAACAAATTTCTTAAAATACTTTTGCCCAAAAATACAGTTATACAAAATACAGTTGCCTTTCATTGATCAGTTGCATGTTTCCTCATTATGAAATGCGCAATTAACATACAAATTACATAAGCACATGCACGTATAAGAATATATGTAACAATATTATACGATAATGTGAATGAACTTAATGAATTTAATGTTTTGCTTTCCAGAGAGAATTTAGCCAACGATACCTATTTGTTGTCGCAAATGGATAATGATCAGTATGTGCCGATATGGACAGTAGCGAATTTTAACCAAGTGAAAAAACTGACGAAAGATATTAAACTTATAACAGAGGTGCTGAGAGAGTCTCCCAATGTTCAAGTTGATGAAGAGGGACAGAAAGTGAGGCCCAATCACAAACGATGTATTGTGATACTTCGTGAGATACCAGATAGCACACCGTTAGAAGATGTGAAGGTTTGTCTTAATTTATCTATTCTACGAATCTTATCATAAAGGATATTCGGCCCTTTAATATCTTGATTCTTCGGCGTAGAATTTATTTTCTGGAGAGGGATGCCCGAGGTTTATTTCGTGCGAGTTTGCTCACAATAGTTCGTGGTATGTGACGTTCGAGTCCGACGAGGATGCTCAAAAGGCCTACCGGTTTTTACGTGAAGAGGTTCGAGAATTTCAGGTAGGTCGCAAGCTTATATAATTCCGTTTGAACAAGTGGTAATGCGAAGTAAATATTTACCAATGATTTTGATGATTCATCAGGTTTACAGCTATATTTAGCTTTAATTATAGCTGTAATTGGATATTTATTGCTACAGCTACAAATGATAGCTGATAGATCTGAGTCCATAATTACTATTCCGATTGTTAAAATCCAGGGAAAGCCGATAATGGCGAGAATCAAAGCTAAACCAATGAACAGGCTACCGATGCCGACGGTAGCCAGTGTAAGTGGTATAAAGAACGGCTACAGAACTCCACCCCCTCCTCCTGTCTATGATCCGAGCAGTTACACGGCTGGACAGCAACGTTTTCTCTATACCAATGGCACGACCATGCCTCAGACAACTATGCCGGCGTACGCGAACCAGGTCGTTTATGTAAGTATACAAGTCACAAGTTCTTTTGCGCAACAACTCACGTGCGCGAGCTTTTCTATCATTTTGAATAATTCATCGCGCCCTGTGTCGGGAGAGAGGCTCATATAAATAAAAAATGTTTCTTTATTTTTCTTTCAGCAACCGTTTTATCCGGCCGGTATGATGCCTTGGGGACCAACTAGTCCCGCTTATTTCGAGATGTCCAATGTCTTTACGATGAACGGAATCACGCCGCACAACACGTTCACGCGTTCGAACACAAGATATAATCCTCGAAATAGGTATGGATTTGCAATTTCATTTTTTCTTTTTCTGGATATTATGTTGGTTGAATGAATATCTCGGTATCTGAAAGCATCTTTTTTTTTTATACGTATACAGAAATAGACAAAGAAACGGCTCCGATCGAAGCTGCTTAATAGACCCGGCCAATCCCAGCAACAACAGTAACAACCATCACCACTATCACCATCATCATCACCACCACCATCATCAGCCGTCGTCTATGCCACCGCTGAGTAATCGTAGTTCTCATTCTCCTATGACCGGTGGTGGCAACAATAGTGTGTCCCTGAGCTCTTCTACGTCCACTTATCACGCCTCGAGTTTGCCTCCTTCGAAGCCGCTCGCCTCTTCGTCCTCTTCTTCCTACCAGTCCGGCACAAAGTTCCATTCTTCGTCGTCCGCCGTGTCGTCTGTTGAACACGTAAAGGGAGCTTCCTCCTCGTTGTCCTCCGCGCAGGATCAGGACACAACGGCAGCGGTCGAGACCTCCTCCACACCCTCCTCCTCGGCGCCTTCGTTTACCCGCCACCGTATCCATCGCAGGACCAAAGATCAGGACACGAAGGTAGCAAGCGGGAACAACCATTCGCTGCCGGCGATTAAGGAATCCCTGCCAGCGAGCGGAGGTAGCGGCAGCAACAGCAACTGTGGCAGCCGCAGTAGCGGCGTGCAGTTTGACCTCGAGGCTGCCGCATTCCCACCCCTGCCCGGCCTCGACACCGACCACGGCAAAACGTCGACCGACGTAGGTAGCGGTGGCAGCGCCGGCACTGTCGGCATGGAGTCTTCGTCGCAGAATCGATTGTCCGATGTTGTCAAGGGTACCGCCAAGCTCAAGGCCGTTATCAAGGACAAGGAAAGTGGTGGTAACCAGCCTCAGTTGCAGCAACAGCAACAGCCCGCAGCGCCTGCGCCAACAGCGGTGAACACCGCCAGTAGATCCGCTAGTCCTGGAGCGAGTACCGGAGCAGAGGCGCAGGGAAGCGCTGCCGCATCGACGAATTCTGCGAACGCCACGCATATCCTTAATCCGCCGACGGCCAACGAGAATACGTCGTCGGCCGACGCTGCCGCGCTCAGCACCGTCGCGCTCACTCCCCCGTCATCTCCTGATAAGTGAGTGGGATTTTTAATTATACGTTCGCTCGCGGTGTAACGGTGTTTCGGGCAGTTGCGGAGAGTTGCGTTGGTTCGCGAAATTGACTTGTGCTGGATCGAATAGCGGACTGTTTGTCAATCTGCGTTGCAGATGTGTTATGATTTTTAGGGGGGTGGAGAAGAAACAGATCTTCCAATCTTTGATAGCTTTTTATCCGACGACATAATGCATAGTTCGTCGTGAAGTGTGGAAAAATGCCTCGGTCACACAAATCGCGTTTCTTTATTTTTTTTTTTGAGATTCTCTAACGATGTTGCATCTTTTGCTTGTTTAATACATATGAAAAAATCAAGGAACTCTATTGGAATTGATTTATTATTATTTTTTTTTTTAAGGAAAATTGTTATTTAGCTTTTGATTATGAAAGCGACAAACGGCTGTCTTGTTCCAAAGTACGACGAAACTTTCCGCTCTCCCAATACACATACATACGTGTACATAGATGTATATGCGCGCTAATGCGCAAAGTGAGGGAGAAAGAGAGAGAGAGAGAGAAAGAGAGAGTGAAAAGTTCTTGGTCCTTGAATCGTTAACCTTTTATAGGATCGTTTTATTCAAATTTTATTTGTAATTCATTTTAGTTTTATCCTCTTTTAAACTAATTTCTTTATTTCTCTTTGTAATGATTTTTCTTTGGCTGAAAGATATTTACGTGATTAACGAGGTTTCGAACTTGAAAACCAGTGAACTGTATTGCCGTGTTGTCGAATCCTTGTGTTTGAAAATTACGTTTGTTGCTTTTTTTTTTTAGTAGATAAGTGTGCTCATTCGATTTAGATTGTTATGAAATCCTAGTTAAAAATTTTTGTTAAAATTAAAGGAAATATCGTGTGAGACCTTGATTGTACGCAAAGTTGAATTTAACATCTTGTTCGAGCGAACGAGCAATTTTTTTTCGCTTATGCAACCGAAAGGAAGTGAGCTTTTCGTTGGCTTTTTTTTTAGTCCTGTAAATGGTTATGACGGTTTTACTACTTTGCTCTTTTTGCGAGAAGGATATGTGTACAGAGTCTTAAACATTTATATTCGTACCTAATCACTGATCACTAATTATATTGACGTATAGAAAGGAAACGCGAATCGGGGTCATGTAGTAGATTCCGTTCGGACGGGGAATTCAGCTGGTCTCCGTAAACGGGTTCCTGGACGCCTTGTTGGATTTTTATACCCTTGGATCGGTGGACCGTTGTATCGTCGGATCTTCGGATTCTCCAATTCGATGTTGGATTCTTTTCCTTGGATTCTTTCGTCTACCGCTCGCTGTATCTTTGGATCCTTAGACTCTCTCGGAGATCTTTAGTTTTATTCGTAAAGACTCGTCGACTCGACAACGCAAAGATCTGAGGATCCAAGGATACGCATCACGATGTACGAGCTTTACGTAGGGCCTACGCAATAGGGTATATCGTAACATATGCCTTCACAGGAATGCCGAGTTATGTGTCATTGTTGTTGTTGTGTTGTTGTTGGCTGCATTATGTGCTGTGTTTGTTTTGTAATGACGGACACGTGTTTTTTTTCCTTCGAGCCGATCCTCCCCGTTCTAACGTTGTCGGATATGACAGTCCGATCGCACGTCGATCGATTTGTTACCTGGGAGGAGGGAGATCTTTCCTTTTTCTCATCGAAAAGATATATACACTATATATATATAATAGAAGCTGAAGTTTTCTTTCCATCGTCATAGTTAATCTCGAGTAAAAGAACGTTACTAACTGTTAATGTCCTTTGAGTTACCGTAGTAGCCTTATCCGCCTGCATTCTCGCCACTTTTTATTTCCAACGCGTATGTTTTATGGTGGAAAATTTATATGTGAGACTTAAGGATCTTAAGAACCGACTTGAGATTCAAAACGTAGAACGTAGAGATTTGGGTCTCGCACAAATTTTTTTAGGTTTCTGGACTCGGACGCAATTCTTTCCGGTCGTTCTCTAGCGAGAATGCCGATACGAAGGTGTTTTTCGTCGAGTCTCTTTGAATCCTGAAAAGAAGACGGTAACACCCTTGAATCTTTAAGTTGTTAGATCTTCGGCTGCGCGCAAGCCTCTCACCGTTATCTCTTACCGTTTATATTAATAAATTAATTAGATGTACTCGCAATTATGATTTGCCATTTCTTCTTATCGATAATCTCATCGCTATCATCGTGCCTTTCTGATTCTGCAATTTTAGAAACTTTTTCCGTTTATATATAAGGCTTCTAAATATTATTCTCTTTTTTTTTGTAAGGATTCTATAAGCATGCTCTATATAAATCCGGTATATAAATAAGGGTTTAAGTTTGCGGTATCATGGATTCTTTTAGATGCTTAGTTCTTGAGTGTGTAGATTCTTTCATCCCTGGATCATTGAATCACTGGATACTATTCCGGATAGACTCTGCTTCGGTCGTCCGGCTCTACTCGATCCTGAGATTTAATAGACTTCACGTTTTAGTTATTAGATATTCAGACTTCTGTGTTCTTCGAGCCTTCGAGCTGAATATACAGTATATACCCGATTCTTGGATGTCATTGTTAGACATCTTTTATCTCCAGCTCTTTATTAACGTCTTTATTAACTTTCGCAAAGTCGGCTGTGCGAATTTTCTCAAGACACTTCAGAGTCCATCCCGAAGATGTCAAGGCTCAAGGGTTTTGGTACAGGGCTAAAAGATGCTCGAGTACTTGTGAATCCCGGATTGCCTAAAGCAAGAACACTTGAAGTTTTCTAAGAGTATCTAATGCAAGGACCTCGTTGAAGATCTGAGGATCTAATCTGAGCGTTCAATGATCGAGAGAGACCTAAGAACTATCCCTTTACGAGTGCAGCACGCCGCATACCGCCGATTGAAATCAGCATTAAACAGCCATTGCTAGCGCACTATACGAACGCTATATGTGTGTGCGGGAATGTATGCGGTGTTATTGTGGTGTGAGATAATTCTGTTCTCTCTTGCCTCTACTGTTTTGTGGCAGATAAACAATAAAACACGTTGAATAGGGATATACGATAAACAATATTATTTTTTCAGGGTTCTTTAATATATTACGATTATTATTTGATTATTATATTATTGCTATTGTCATTATTATTATTATAAGTTTTTAATATTATTAATATTATTATTATTAATTATTATCTGTTCGGTTTCAAGTTACTCTTAAAGGCATTTTGATGATGAAGTTTCTCTAGCTCATATTATTCTAACGTTACTAGTTAAGTTACAATTCTCGTTACATGACTGCAAAATAAATAATAAAAGAAACGGAAGAAACGAGAACACGCGGTCTCTCAGCATGGTATCTGATGGACCTTTGGTAATGACTACAGTTGCATTGTCAGCGATGAACTAGAAGTTAATAAACAATGTGTATACTGATGTTTGTTAATCGATGTCTTGCGATATTGCGAAAAAAAATCCTTTTTTGCATATCCCTCGATCGTTGCGGGCGGTTCTCGCGAAATGAATTTTTACTTTTCGTCCTATTATCTATTCTTAAAAGACACCATTATGTTACAAATACAATCGCACTTTTTAACAATGTTCTCGTCGCCAGATTCTTTTGGGTATGCAGATTTGAATTCTGGGGATTATGGATAATTAAGCCGATTATAAACTTTTAACTTTTACCTTCCTCTCTTGGGCAATTAAGTTTCTTTTGAGTTTTTCGAAATTTCTTGAAGCATTCCTGAATCATTGGCTCGAGAATCGCTACACGAACCGATTTTCTCATTGTGCACGAACGAAGTTGATATGCGGTGCGGGATTAACAGTCACCAGCGTACGCGTTTAGTATTTGATGATGCACGCAATAGAGAGAGAGTTCACATTACAGCACATTTATAGCTTTAGTCTCAATGAGCGTTGATTCTAATTTCTGATCTTGAGCTACGTTTCAGATTCGTATTCGTAAATCGATGCCTGTATAAATTTTGTTACAATTACGCACGCAATGCTTCCGCGACGAGCGAGGACGTGCAACGGTCCCGGTGTGTCCAAGGATTCAAGTATATAAAGATCTAAAGACCTCGTGATATCTGTCGCGATAAGGGATACCTTGGGTACCCGAATTCTTAAGGACACACATTCCCGAAGGTTCCAAAAGTCCCATATTCGTATATCCAAGGCTGACGGGAGAATATAAGGAATATCTATCCCTGAGAATCTAAAGGATCCGGAACGAGGGTACCTCTAGAATCTCAGGATAGCTAAGTAAGCATGTGTGTTGTTAGTCTTTTACTATTGACAATGGCACCGCTGACAGATCTATAAAGACTGACGACTCGAACATGGTGAACGGTGTGGACGACGCTGTAGTTGCGAATACGCACCTGCCGGCAGTGGCTACGTCGACGGTAACGACGGCTACGACGACGACAACGGCAACGACGGCGACGTCAGCCGCAGCGACCACGGACGATGCCGAGACGATGACCAGGTGCGACTGTAGCAACGTCGTCGTCGTCCCTCCTCCTACTGCCTCTTCACAGAACTCCCAAACGCAAACTGGAGTGGCCTCTGCCTTCCCTATAGTGAGTATCTCGCGATCTCTCGAAAGAAATTTGTTAGAAGTTGAAAATGCGCTTCGGACTCTTGATCCCTAAGGGAATTCAAGCACAGAGTCAAGAATATAAATGGTATGAGTTGGTGAGAAGATATGAAGAAGAAGATATAAAAGTTCTATGATTTAAGATGAGGAGTTTCAGGACGACAGATGGAAAATTTATTAACATTAAGAATCCAGAAAGATTTCAAGAATGCAGATTAAAGATCTAAAATCTCATTATATCTAGAAATTTATGTATACTTTATGTATAGATACATTTATATAAATATATTTAAATATATTTATGTATAAATGTGTATCTATATATAAAAATATAGATTACGAATTTGTTAAAATAAGATAAGAGGTTCTAAGTAAACAGTTAAATAAAGATTCTAAAAGTACAAATTATAATCTTAAAATCCTTAGGATATGTTCGTGGATGATATTTATAAAATCTGATTTATATGTTTTAAATCTTTCTGTGAGATTTTATTTAGAACCTCGTATTTATGGCGATTCTTATGCTCTACAGAATAATGAATATTCTGAAATAACGCGTGTTAATAAACATTTCATGTTCTCTGCAGGATCTTACGAGGCCAAGCTATGCCCAAGTAGCGCAACATTGCCGTGAGCTACCTTGTACAAAACACAAAACAGACGAGAGGGATAGAAATGTTTAAAAGCTGCACGTAAGTATCTTTTTCTTTAAACAATCTCCATAGATTCTCATTTAAAGAAGCTATGCACGCGGAGAGAAACGCGAATAAGTTTAATCTTATGAATAATTTAATATTGTAAATGTTAGTTTCTAGTAAGAATCTCTTAAGATTATCTTATGTCCATTTCTTCCAATGAAGATTAATTTCAATCTTGGTTTAACTTATTTTTTATCTTTTTCTAGTTTTAACAATTAGAAAAAGAATAAAAAGTAGGTTAACTCTAGATTAAAGTTAATCTGCATCGATAGAAATGTACATTAGTATGCTAAAAAAAGTCGATAATATTAATTTGCAATTAGAGAATTTCGAAAGAATTAAAAGGTATAGTTAAAAGTACATGCAATATAACGCATCTTGCAAAAGATACCAAGCTTTTTTAATAATCCATGTGTATAGTTTGTAATCTAAAGAAATATCTTTACAATGATACATTTTTCATTACCATCCTATATTCTCAGATCCTTAAAAAATACGGCCTGGATCCCTTCCCGGATTTTCGAGAATCCTTATATACTCTAAGATATTTTCTCAAATCCACGAAATCCACGAACCGATCCTCGACGTAAGACAATCGGTTGAAAGTGTCATTTCTTTATAAAAGAGAAACGTCCGCACAAGGTGTATATTTTATTCCTTTGTGTGCCTTGAAGGTGACGACGATGAAGGAAGAAGACACCTCAAGCGGCGGAAGCAGCTTATATATAACGAAGCAAGAAGCCAAAATCTACAGATTACCACGCGTCAACGGGGTAATTAAACGATAATTAGCTGTGCTATATGTGCTATGACGTCATCGCCATCTTCTCGGGGTCAGATCGGATCGGATTGAGAATCAGGATATCGGAGCTCGCCGCTGCTTTCACCTACCTATCTATCCCCCCGATACTCCCTTCTCAGACCGACGCCGTCACGTGCTGCAGGCGTGAGGAAGAGAGAACTTTTTACATTGTACAGTGACGTCTCGCCTACGATCAACGATCGGTCGATCGACGAATCGATCGAGAGAGAGAGAGAGAGAGAGAGTAAGAGAGAGAGAGGGAGAGGGAGAGAGAGAAATGAATGAGTGATAGTGTAAATGTGTGAAAATGTGTAAGACTCGCTGCGCACTATTATAGCGGTGCATTCGCAGGCACTACTATTATACAGGGTGATCGGAGAGTCCCGCGGGGCAAATTTGTCGCCGCGGTTTGATGATGTTGATGGTTTTGCCGATATATTTTGCTTATAATCGGCACAATTGTTTTATTCGCTTTATTGCAATTTGCGGAACGCAATGATTCGATTGTAGTTTATTCGTGATTGGAGTATGTTTGAAGGATTTAAAGTCTTGAAAAATATAAAAATTCGTTATAGGATTTAAGAACGATGATCTAAATGCACGCGTTAAGCGGACGAAAAGAACAGCCAGCCTGGCAGCGGAGGCCCGAAGACTCGAACTTGACGTTCGGTTACCGGCACGCCAATGAGAATTATTAGGCTGGCGAAAAGAGAGATCGACAAGAGGAGCAACTGGGGATCAGAACATGTAAAAAAGTTAAGAATCTGAGATTTCACACGCGTATAAATAAAAATCGAGATCTGCATTGAATGAAAATAATTCAGTTGATCAAATTTCGATTTCTGAAGTATATACCTTCTGGAAGTCGCAGATTTTCGACTTTTTTCGATTTTTTGTTCATCGAGTCGCGCTCTTCGAGCTTTTATTACCGATCTTTATACTCTTATGAGTTTCAATATAGACGATATAATACAGTTTTGAGTGTACCTAATAATGTTTGATAAGCTTTAGTTTTAAGACTTCGTTAGTAATTGGTAAGGATTCTTAATTAATAACAAATATAATATAGATCTAAAGAATTTACGAATCTAAAAATTCGAGTTATACGAGATGTAAATGATTGTCTAGAATTATGCTTCGGATAAACGCGGAAGTGTATTACGACGTGGCGGCATTTTTTTTTTCTTTAAAACGGTTTTTCTCTCGACAGCACCAAGCGCACGGCTGCGCGACTTCCCGATCACCCGGTACATCGCGCAAGAGAAGAGTATTGTTATATATCGTTTTTTGGTTCTGTGATTGAGGTACATATTTGTTAGCTTGTACAAAGACGCGTTAAAGAGATAAGATTATATTACTCTTTTAAAGGGAAAAACCCCTTCCCCCGCCCCTCCTTCGCGTGCAGAGTCGTAATGTTATAACCGGGAAAAAACACACATGTCTATTAGATATATATAATTATATATATTTGTGCCAAAAAAAAAAAGAACATTGCTTGACGAAATCTCCCGAAACGTGCAACGAAGTGGACGCCGAAATCAACTGAGATTCTCGCCAAGTGGAAAGCGGTGTGGAATCCCCCCCAAAAAATTCCGCTCTCTTCCACGTTCCTCATCTTAAAAAAAAAAAGAGTTAAAAGTAATAAGAGGGGAACGAAGAGATTGTATTTTATAAACGGAGGAGAAGTTATGACAATGTGTACGAGATTATGCGTGGTTTAAAGGACGTTACCGATGATGAATGATGATGATTAGGAGGAGGTGAGGGAGGAGGACGATCGAAGCGTACGAATTCGTATTTTTATGCGGTTGAAGCGTGTGAGAAGCTTATTGCGGAGAAAATCGGCGGTGATACCGGATCTGTAAAGTTAACACAGGACGAAGAGTGAGTTCGCACAATTGAGGAATGATCTTGGAAGCTATTGCTAGCGCATCTGTCATAAGAAATACTTTGCGTTTTACAATGTAACCGTAATTACAATAATTAGCGTTTTAATCAGCGGCAATGATGCGCAATACCGTGTTGCGTATCGTAATACGCAAGACGTAAGTGACAAAAAAAAAAGATCAAAATTCTTAGAGAGTGTATATTATAATGTGCTTGACGAAGTCTCTCGAGATGCGCGACGAAGCGGATACACGGAATTAAGCATTAGTATCCCGTCTTTAAGCACCGCACATCGGTTTGCATTCTAGTTATTTTTACGTGTACATATGTATTGTATAATTTCTCTTGCCTTGATTATTCCTCAATTTGTTCGGATCCACTTTAAATGAGCTGACGTTTAAAGTGGATTTAAATTCACTTCCGCTACTCGATTCCTGCAATTCAAGATCCTCGAGACCAAGATTTTTCGGATCTCCCCCGAGGATCTTCCTCTGAAGTTTCGCACTTCAAAGCCTCGTCATGGATTCCGTCTCGATTCCATCCTTGTTCCATCACCGTCATCACCACCACGGTTTCCTCGCTTTTCTTGTCCCATTTCCGGACAACGCGAATCTCTGAGAAACTGCCTCCTAATTTTCTTTCTGACAACTTGCGGGCTCGCGTGTTGGTTCGAGACAGTCCCATTCTCTTCTCTCCTCGGTTTTTCGTTTCTTTTTTTTCTTTCTTCCTTAGCAATTCCACGCCAGCTCTCCCTCGCTCGCCAGAGATCCGTGCCCAATTTTCTGCCCATCTCGACAACGCAAATCTCTTGAAGGATGTGTGCCGCAGTTTTATCGACAACTTTCTGGACCTGTGCGTTGTTTCGTGAGATGGGCCGATATTCCAATCCTCGTTCTCTCATCGCGATTCCATCCCTATATTTTCTCAGCTTTTCAATTCCATCGTCCGATTGTGATTCCGTTTACTCTTCCGTCTTGTTCGCCACAGTGATGCTCGCGAGCGAGCATCGGTTCAAATCACGGTGGTCATCGTCGATTCCGGGGACTATATCGGGAGCGACGACTTCCGATTTGCGTGAAACTCGACTTCCCCGCTTTTTAACTAACCGCTCATTATACTCTTCGCTGCGTCGCGATCAAACTTTTTTTTTTTTGTTAGACTATTCTTTTTATTCGACCGTCATGAGGTGCACTGAGACGTTTAGGAATCTTAGGGTCACGTTTTTATTCGGCCAAGAGAGAGAGAATGAACAAGAAATGTGCGCGAGAGAACATGCTAATTCGAAGTAGCTAGTGTTGCGAAAATCGGGACGACTAATTGAGCACGCATTTAAGTGCCTCAAAGTATGTTGTATATTATTGATTATCTATTACCACTATTAATATTAATTAGTACTATTGATTGCTCTATTATATTATTATCATCATTATTTTATTATTATTATAAGCAGGAGCTTTTGGCTTTAGGTGTTACGATGATGCATATGTACCTACACACATAACACACACAGACACAGACACACACTATAGTGAAAAAAAAACGAGAAAAAGGATGCGAGAAAGAGAATAGAAAGGACATTATTAACAAATATATATATGCATAAAATATATATCTTATATGTATATACAGGGTGTTTCTCAGAAACCCATGGGACAAACTTGATATAATATTGTCAGATGTTATGCGTAATGCTGTCGTACGACCGATTGCCTACCTCACAAGCGGTGAACAAGAATGCGTAGCTGCTCAAGGACGCGTCGGAAGACACGGGTTTTTTTAACAAAAATGATTTTCTTGGTGAGACCATGCTCTAAACTTTGTCCCATGAGCCCTAAAATTTATATATATATGTGTATATATATATTTTATACATATGCACACTCTGTATATTTATTATATATTTGTTGATGATTAGACGTATGCGAGTTTGAATTGACGATGTGTAACGAAAAAAAAGGCATATAAAGACGAAAAGGACGAAAAATCGATCTCCTGCGAATAGGGTGCAACAAGGATGACGTGTCGACGTACATAAGTACTGCTATACTTTGAACTTACGATGCTGCCGTTTCATTTATACAACACATACAACACAGGGCGTTTTCAAAATAGAATTGTCAGCTGTTTCTGTTAATATTGAGTTGAATAAATCAAATAAACGATATGTCGGACAAATGTCGACTCTCAGAGGATCGTATATCGTGCCGGCAAGACATTTCCCCTGGATTATTGTGATTTCTTACGGAACTAACGAAGTTGATCGCGCACATTGGAAAATATATATATATATTCAAAAATTCTCAGATTTAATTCGTGTACTTTCGAACCACTTGAGAATCAGAGATCATAAAAGATCAAGGAAACTCGTAGGCGATGACTAAGCGCTGGAATTTCCAAGATCCATCACTTCCGTGAGATACGTCAAATATAGTCTGTTAATAATGAAAACTACGTGTGCTGTCTGTTATGAATACTGCGATGACCAGCAAAACGCTATAAATTCTAAAGACGCTTCAACAGGAGCTCGTCGGAAGGCCTAAGCATACGAGCAACGTCCAGGATAATCAATTTCAATCAAAAACTGCTAATAAATTAAAGGAAAAAAAAATCAGAGATAATTCGAAGAGTTGTGAAATTGCTGTGAATTCGAGCGATTTAATCGCGCAGAATCGCCCGGGATTTCCCGAGGTCGTCTAAGAACCGGGAGATGATCTTTCGCCGCGCGATTCTCTGAAAATCGCTTAACATAATATCTGTCGTCGTCCGTTGCGTATTTCTGCGAGAAAGAGAGAGAGAGCGAGAGAGGCGTATACATATACATATATACATATATATCCCAATTTCCTGGGAGGCCAGAGAGAAAATGATCGATCGTCGATCGTCGATGAACCTGGACGCGCCGGACTGGGGCAGTGCGGATCGTTTCAATTCGCACACGTTGTGCTCTGGGCGAGTCCTAAAGCGCGTTTCATTAAGGATATAATGTACGAGAGGCGATATACAAATTATATATGTATATAAAATTTGTATATCGTGTACATATACATACACACACACACATACATATATATATATTTTTTTTTACGAACCGCGCGTGGTTCTCTCCGGGAATGCGGTTTTGCTTCACCGCCACTCCAACGATGTAGTAAAATATATTCAATGTATATATATTATATACGCATATGTATACTACTACATACACACACACACACACACATATACACAGACAAACACGGATAGGCTAAGGCATCAATTATTATACATACGTTTGATGTATGTGTGCGTAATGTAATGTCGCGATGTGCGTTTCACGATCCTATATTGCGATTTGCATCGCTGACTCTCGTGTACGCGGATTCGTAAAGGACGAAGAAGAGAGAAGAGAGGAAAAGAAAAAAAAAATAGCGTAATCGCGCGCGCCTTTGTCACACATTACACATACACGCGAGCGACTCTTAACGACTCTGTCAAACGACCTCGTTTCGATTTCCTTTTCTTGGATTAACACGGGTTCTTTGGTTCTCATTTTTTTTCCGTTTATCCTTTTCCTCCTCTATATTCTCACGTACACGCGTCTCGTTTTGTTGCTTTCCGATATTTGTTATACGTGCACGTGGAGGCAAAAAGCGCGGTGTAATTGTATAGCTGGCTGATGTAAATTAGACCGAGGGGATATAATGATGTGTGCTACGGATATTAATCGCGAGAAACAAACAGATGGTGCGAAAAAAATAATAGCTCGTATATAATTAACAGCGTTTCTTGATTGAATCTTAATAAACGAGTTAGAATAAAGAAACAACGAGAGAGAGAGAGGAGAAAATTAAGTAAGATATTGCGAAAGTACTTTGACCGTTAATTTAAGCGCATTACGGCTAATTGTGTGCTATTTATGTGATTTTTATAGATCCACGCTGAATTACGAGTTTTTAGTCCTAGTAAAACTGAGCTTTCAGATCCAGGTCGCCGCCTGGGTTTGCCGAGACCCGGAGATCTTTTTTAGGTGAAATCCTCGAAAATTCCGAGAAAATTGGCGTGTCGCCATAATAATGAGGGTTCTTCGGAAAAATAATTGCACCGCGTGAGAGTGATAATGAAACGTACCTCGATCTCGTAATTTGTCCATCGGGATCGAGCGCGTCGCGGCGAAACTCTCTCTAACGATCGTGTCGATTAATTATCAAACGGTAAAAGGAAAATACAATAGCAACGTTTCGTTGACGCATCAGGATAAGCTGTGATTATATAAAAAAAGAAAGGAAAAAAAAATAACGGAAACAGAACCGAGCAGGAGCAGGACGCAACAGGATGTGTATTCCTAGAAAGTCTGATTTTGTAAACTATTCTACGAGGAAAACACTTGTGTATTATATATATATATATATATGATATGCGATATATATGATATGATATATGATATGATCTATGACGTTTGTTTATTACTATGTAAAGTGACAGATTTCGAAATTAAACATTAATTACTGTTAATCGCGGCGTTTTGAATTTACTCTTTTTCTTTTCTTCACCTGGGGAGGATCGTGGGAAAGAGTGAGAGCGGGGAAGAATGCCAAATCTGCGAGGGCGCAGGCACAATGGACATCGCGAGTTTTTTTTACGAAACGTGAAAAAACATTCGTATTTCCTCACCTCTGAACTCCTCAGATCGTGTTAATATTTAAACAAAATAATTTACACGTCACTTACAGAGCTAGCGCGATAAAAAAATAAGTTAACATTCGTTGAAACAACATTATACATTTATGTCTAACAACAACCTTTTGTGCTCGCACTCGCGAGTCTCTCGGCGACGTGACACTCGATTTTCTCACACACAATTTCTTGCTATAAGACAAAGGGGAATTTACTTCTTGCGGAAAATACTCGGCATGCCGGGCGATCCGGTTTTCTGTTGAAAGATCTTGCTCATCCTCTGACGCATGTCCTCGACACCTTGGCCGACATTCACCGTCGCCATCGACAGGGACAGCCCGGAGCTCGTCGAGAGTGTCCTGGAGCGAAGATAACTTTTTACAAACGTTTAAACATTTTACGTACAGGATATATAATGTTTCTAGAAAAGTATTCAACGGTCCAAAGAAATCGAAATTTAGAAATCTATCAAATCTATGAATTATTGCAACTGTAGATTACAATTAGTAATCAAATATAAAATTTCTTATATTTCTTTATCTGTATGTTTCATAATTATTAATTCATCATTTATTATAAATACGATCAGATATAATTATGCATAGTTATTTTTATTCATTACCTATCTATTGGTTTTGGTAAGTCCTGCCTGGACTCCGCTTCTCTAAGCAAGGAACGCACCGCGTCTTTTTGCTGAGGTAGACATTGATTTACCAACGTCTCGAGATGCCTCAGTCCCGGCAGTACTACTCCGGAAACGCATTGACTACTTAACGGACAGTAAACCAGCACAGAATACGCCTCCACCAGGACGTTTACTAATTCGATCTTGCGGCTCTGTTGAAGCGCGAATGAGGCAATCGTCGATAAGTGCGTCGCTATTACTGCAATTAACAATAATTTAGTATGACGAGATACATGTGTAATAATAATGCACACAGAAACATAAAAAAACCAATTTCTTATCAAAGTTGAAATTGAGAGTTTATATTCCGTCCTTTATGTATTCAAGAGTTTATCTTTCGAGTTACATAAAGGATGTATATTATACAGGATAACGTACTGTCTTCTATGTAATTCTGCGGACAGGTGGGAGCGATGACCGCGAACGTGGATACTAACGAAGTTGCCAAAATTGGAGAGAGTTCCTGAGGATCTTTCGCGATCGTTTCCAACGTTAAACGTGCTTTATCACGTGCTTCCCTCACCTTGCACTCCGTTATTATGCGGCCTAGGGTAGAGATTGCAGCGCAACGCACGCCACTAATAAAGATATTTATTCGATTATTGCATAATGTAAAATGAGAGATATCAACATTGCGCGAAATATTGACTGATCATATATATTTTAAAATAAATAATTTTATACGAGTCGTGCGTCTGTGGGGGTCTTGGAATCTACATTGTCAGGCAGGTAGATAGAAATTTATAACTTGAATTTATAGTTATACGGGCATTTAAGGAATTTGGAGCAATTACGGTTTTTTATAAAGAAAAACTAGTGACGCTAAGGATTCATGATATTCAGATACATGCATGCATAAGTAGAGAAGGGTCTCTCACACTTCAGGATCACTGGCGAGTGTTACGATGGCTGGTACGATCTTGGCGTTTGCTAGTCGATCCGAAATGTGTGCGATAATGGAACCGAATAGGGTTGCTGTTGCGCATCTTACAGAGGATCTCTGATGCATTACACCTGTAAAAAAGAAGAAACTTAAAATTGTTACTATAAATATAAATCTAAAATATTTTGCAGAACGTTATAATAAGAACATGTATATTGATCCTACAAAAATATAAATATTCGCTGTTTCTTTCGATATGTATATTTTTAATTGGAGAAAAAAATTCTTTTTCATAAAATAATTGTAGTTTAAACGAGAAATAAATATTTTTCCACACCTCTTATAATAGTTTTATTTATTATATGACTAAGTAACTATTTCTTCCACAAACTATTAATAGTAATAATACGAAAAAAAGAGACGTGATACGAACCTTCCCATAAACTAGCAAGAACGCATTCTTGCGTTTGTTCACGAGCGCATAAAATACTGGCAGCGATTTGCAACCAAGATATACTGGTGCCGCTCATCGATAAAATCACGAGGAATTGTTTGAAGTAGTTTGCGAGCTCCGTGGAGTCGAGAGTACTCAGAATCACTAAGTAACTCGGGATCAACGGAAGATTCATAGTTTTCTTGTCTGCCGATAGTGCCGTCAATTGCTTCTCAAGTTCTGATACTTCCGTGGAAAATACTGTCTGTATCTGAAATAAAATTTATTCATAAGCATTCATTAAACATTCTAAGAAACTAGGGATTTTTGAAAGAAGTTCAAGAATAAAAACGTTTCTATCTAATCCTAAGAAGATCTCAAGAATTTAAAATTAACTCAAAACTCAATAATTGATTCACTACAGTTATTAAATATTTTAGTAATACTTCTAGACGCAGAATTATTTACCCTCGATTGGGTGATATGTTTCCCAAAGCCCACACACAAGGAATAAATGTACGTAAGAAGGGTTTTTAAAACGTTTTCCTGAGTTGCATCCACAGACTTCACCATATCCAAGACATCAATTATTCTGCAAGAGAGAAAAATTTTGAAATCAATATTTTGGGATAGAAACAATCGAACTTTTAAAGATTCGTATTAAAAGTTTTAGTTTGTTTTATAACTGTAACTTGTTTTAGAAACATTCACAATAACTAATTAAACAATATCAAAAATAAATTTTTAATAATACACAATACGTTATTATTTTAATATAATTATTATAATAATAAAACAATATTCACAATTTCTTTGTAAACCACTCTAATTCCGGCCAGGATGCGTCCTTCCAAGATTCGGAGAAGAAGGTGTTGAGAAGAACACTGACGTCGACAGAATCCTCGTAGAATATCCTCGGGTCGGTGATATTGGAGTGACACAACGCCAGAAATTCCTCGGCTGCACCACAAAGTTTCTAGAAAACTTTTGTGCTTTTGTTTTTGTGCGAGCTTATAAGCTTTATACAAAATCTACTAGAAGATTTTGAATAGCACAATTTTTCAAATTTTTAAATCGTGGAATCCTCTACCACTTCAACTTCTACCATTTTAAAATCTTTAATATTAAATACTTGACTTTCAATATATTTTACTCACACATCAACAGAGATCCTAAATTTTTTCCTAAATTTCCTAAATTTTTCGTTTTTATTCCCAAATCATTAAATTTAATTTTAACTTTTATGTCAAACTTAATGTAATTTTAACTTTTTAAATTTCTAAACTTCTAAATCTTTAAATATTTAAATGTAGTTTCTTTTCTTTCATTCAATTATTCGTGTGTTTCACCTTGTAATTACTCAAATATACATTCCTCTATTTGTCTCATTTACTTCCTCTAATAACTCACACAAGTCTGGCGACGTATCATCCTTGATACAAGCACGCACCGCATCAACATTGGCGACACACAAGACCGTATAAGGTAAGATGCACTGCAGAATACTGATCGACGGCGTCAATTTCTCCTCGTTGACGTAGTCTTTGTTCGGCGTAGTCTGAGAGTGCACCGGCTTTAGTTGATTCTTAACTTTCAAGATTATGCGCGGTAACAGGTTTAGATGCAGCCTCCTCAGGGATAACGCCCATTGTGCCAAAACCGGTAACAATATCGACGATGCCGTTTCAACGACCATCGACGATGTGTCATGGAGTGCCGTTAACACCAGTTCTTCACACTGAAATTTATATATATAATCATATATCAGTGTACGTATCAAAAATATAAAATTATAAAAATGATAAGAAAAGAAATAACATAAAGATATTAAAAAATATATAAAATAATAAGATATTTACCTGGAAATATTTATCAGGATCGTCCATCAAAGCTATAAGTAACGCGAGGCTTCTCACTACACTAGTTCGTACAACAGGGTCCTTGTCTTCCAATAACATCTGCTGCAACATTGACAGCATCAGCGAGTTTCTAACGGCAGCTGATGTGTAGGATGCCAATACGCAGCAACATTCAACAGCTAGTAATCTTCTCTCTGGATACTTGTGTTGACTCTGCTCCCAACAAATCGTTAGAATCTCTTCCGTTTCAAGCGGTTCTTCGGCAAGCTTCGCCATTACGACTAAACCTGACACACAAAAAAAGAAAGCGATCTTTAGTACATTCAACAGGTAAACAAAATGTGTTTTTCAATTATAAATGCAATGTGCAGTACATAAGTAGCAACAAGCACAATTTTTCCTTTGCAAAAAGAACAAATCTTGCATCTAAATCTATTAATCTAAATCATTAAACTGTACATTTGTTTTTTACTAACCGGCCAATATCATTTGTCGTTCGTCCTCTTGCGGTCTCTTCTTCAAATTGAACAGAAGCTGCAGCAACTTCTCCCTCTCGCTAGAATTGGAATGGAGATGGATTGCACTAAGGATCAGAGGAATGATTTCTTCGCGCCTATTGAGGATAATGTTAGGCACTACACGCGGCAGAGTATACGCTAAAATATCAACTAATGTATCCCGGGTGATTCCGTGCTTCAACGATTCTTCCACCGAGGACATTAATGATCCCGAAACATTCGCCATGCAGCGCGCCGCTATTTCCGACTTGAATTTAGCCGGCAAATCTCTGTAATGTTTACAAATGCACAATTAAGGCATCTTAGATTCTCAAAAATCTTTATTATAATAAGATCTTCACATATCCTTAAACAATTATTTCAAGTACTTCAGTTACTTTGTAACTTGGAAGAAAGTTTGTGCTAATTTTACGTTATTTCTCAAGTTTATCCAACTTTGATTGGTTGAATAAAAAATCGCATTCTAAAAATAAAATATGTATAATAGTATAAATAACCTGGAGGATGCGGTTGGTAGGACAGAAGATTTCTCTGTAACATTTATTCTAGGTAACTGCAACCTGGTCCATTCTTTGTCTCCTGGATCCGTCTCGTCCAGGCTAACTACCGCGGAAGCACTATCATCTTCCTCCGGTTCCTGAGTAGTAGTCGATATGTCTCTTGGTAACGGCTCGAGTAGTTCAAACTTGTCAGGAGTTGTAGAATTGGAATTGATGGTACGGATAGTTCCGCAGCTACCTGACTATAAATAAAACAGTAATTCTTTGCAATATATGTATAATGCTCTATAATCATTATATTAATCATATGATTTGTCTGCGTAAGTGTTTAGATCAACTGCAAGATTACTTTCCATGTGAGAACGCTAATTAATTAACTCACCTTTATCGGATTTTCTACAACGTTCTCCTTGTTTGATAAAATAACTTCCTGGAGAGCAGTTTTCTCCTGTTCCAACACTGCAATCTGCTGCTGTAACCTTTCAATCTGTTCCTCCTGTAAAGGATACAGAGCTCTTAGAAATTCACGGATTTTTAACGATCAAGAATTCAAATGTTTTGAAGCTACATTAAAGTAACGAACCGTTTCCCGAGATTCATCCTTCTGCTCCTCAACATCCTCGACGACAAAGTCCGTTTGCACGGCAACGCTCGCAGATGGGGGCTTGTCATATCCATTGGCTCTCATGTGTTCCCGATATATCTGCAATAATTCCGTGGGTTTGGGAATATTCAGCCCCACCTCTTGCCAATCCTCGAAATCCTGCTCCTCGCACTCGTCACTGAAAGTGATCGAGGTGAGCTTGTACGATCTTGTCAGTAGATATTCGTTGATGAGAAAATTTAGCGCTCGCTGCTCGTGCGGTTTGATGGGCAATTCGGCAGTCGGATTCTTTTCAGAGCTCTTGTCCGGTGCCTTCAGTGTACCTTCCAATTCTATGAAATTTCAATCGCGTGTCATTAATTAAAAGTGCATTGCGAGCCGAAAGATGTTTCGTCATTCGAGCAAAGACGTTACCTGTCACTACGGTTAAATTGGCGCGCAGCGAGGAAATATTTTCTCTGGCTTTGCGCAGCTCGAACTCGAGAATGGCCACTCTCTCATCGACGCCACCTCCGTCCTCCGAATATCGAGTCATGTCCAACGAGTCCAAGGTGGCCTGACTAGAAGATCTGGCTAATGTTTCATTTATATGTAATGCTTCATTTATAATCTCTGTTATATCTGTTTATCGTTAAGCAAAAATTATAATAAGATATAATACTTTATACCGTAAGATTTTTTATTCATTGATTTTATATCAACTATTACATTTATAATTATATCTGTTTATTGTTAAGCAAAAATTAATAAGATACAATATTTTTTATTTATATAATAAGATTTTTATTTATCGATTTTATATTAACTATTAGCTGTAACTTTTTCTTTATCTGTGAAGAGACTTTATAAAGATATCTATTACTTCTCTCGTGTTAACGACTAAAGACACATACGCATTGGAGTATACGGCTCCGGCTTGATATTGGAGTTCTCGAAATTGTTTGGATTTGAGAAAAATTCCCTGAGGACGGGCAGCTCCTTGCCAGCCTCGCATAATTCGGCGTGCAATTCCAGAGCCGTTAAGAGCAGTTTCTCGTTGAGGAGCTTCGTGGCCATCTCCTCGTAGGATATCGACGTCCTTGACGCCCCATATCCTGAAACGAACGGGTGGACGTAAAGAAACCCGATTGTCGATTGCTTCTTGCAATTAGCTTCACAATCGGCAGTCCGTCGTGGTGATCGGCACGCCGAGAAACGGCCGGGACGGAAGGTTACCTTTGTTGTTCGCGGACAGAGACTCCTTCATTTCCCCGACGACGCTCGCCATGATGCCAAAACGCGCTCAGGTATTCCTAAGGAATGACATTTCCACACCACGTGAGACGATATTGGTCGGTCTTGCGTATACGCTTGCCTCAATTTTAAACACAACACATATGTAACGGGAAATGATTATTTATAGCGCGAACACAATGACAACTCATCTGACGGTCGGGGTATGGAATTGCGTTATGTTAGATGGCCGACTACGTGACAGCGTGACACGTCGAGGGTCTCTTGGGGTTCCTGAAATTCCCTATCAAGCCGGCCAATTAAAATTCAAGCCGATTGATCTGGCGATTTTTGAGCGGCATTTTAGAAATAATTTTTCAGCTTTTTTTCATATTTATTTCGGGCGAAATATAAATTATATATTTTTATAAAATTTTATTGATATATTAAATGATTTCTATTATAATGCACATGAAGTAATATAAAAATAATAGGTGCTATAATATTAAAAAATAAATATATCAAACTAGTAGTACGTACATACGTAATAGCTTCTATATTTTTACTCTCGCTCTTACATTTTCAATTATGCGATATTAAGAATTTGTTAAAATTAGTCGAAGAAAAATTTCTGACATAATAACATAAGTAACAATATCGAGAAGTTACTTTATTAAATTGCAATATTGTTTTCATCTCACATTACATATACTCATAACTCAGTTTGTGTTATTTATCTCGTAAGTCATTATCATTGTTAACGTTTACAAATTCGAGAAATGTTTCCGTAAACGTCACGGCGTATGCCTTTATCAGTCCTCGTCGTTCTTATGTGTCTAGAAATCCATTTAACGTTAGAAAAGCACGCATTAATATTTTCTAGGATTGACGTCACGCACTTTCGTCTGAGATCTGCGGGGGGGACGTCGTGGGATTCAAGGGAAACCGTCGTCGTCTTCCTCGGCCATCTCCTTGGCCAGCTCCAGATCCTGCTGTTCCCTCTCTCTGCGCTCCTCCGCGGACTCCAAGTCCTTCCCGTAGGACTTAGGCGGGTAGCGCATCGCCTTGACGCTCTGATTGTGCAGGTCCAGGCAGAACGTGATTCTCTGATGAAACGCCAGCAGCGGCTCCTTGGTGCAGTAGATGTCCGTGGTCTCCTTACTGCGCATATAGCCGTTCTCCGGGTCCAGGGTGGCCTCGATCACGCCGTCGCGGATCGCCTTAGCCACGATGAACTCCGCGTCCACGCTGGAGTCCAGTCCCAGCTTGCGGGCGATGTCGGTCGGCGATATGCGCGAATACGAGAGCCCGATCGAGCGGATCGCGGTCTTGATGACGTTGTGCCGCAACCGTAGGATCAGCGTGAACGTGTGATCAGCGCGGAACTGCGGTCCAAAGTTCTCCAGGACCTCGCCGAAGCGCTGCAGGTTGCCCAGGCGCACCGCCTGGGTCAGCTGGAAGTACGGGGCGAGGGCTCGGCGTAGAGCGGCCTGCCGGAATATCTGCCTCTCTGGGATGTCGCCGAGTAGAAGCTCCACCGCGACCGCCAGCTTCTGCACCGTCTGCCTGAAACCGACCGCCGTGGTCTGCGGCGCCTTGCGCATCGCCTGCACCAGATACTTGTGCGCCGCCGAGTACTCCAGCCTGGCGGCCTTTATCCTGCCGAGATAGTAGAGGAAACGCGCCCACTCGTTGTTGCTGGCCGACTCGGGGAAGGTCGACTTGAGCACCAGCTTGTCCGCCTGGTCGTAGAGATTGTAGTGCAGATAGTTGCGCAACAGGCAATTGATCAGCACCGCCTGGCCCTCGAAGTCGTTGCGCAGGGTCGCGGTACGTAGACGTAGGTGCAGGAAGCCGCGGATCTTGTCGAGCTGATCCGTCAGCTCGTACGCGCGCGAGTGATAGAAGTAGCACTTGGCGGCGATCAGGTCGATGGTCCTGCGATTCTGCGCGCCGATCTTCTGTACCAGCTGCTCCGAGCACTGCACCGCCTCGTTGTACTTGCCGGTGTCGATCAGCCGGATCAACACCAGCAGGTGGATGTAGCCGTCGATCTCGGGGAGCAGGGACGACGAGGAGCTGCGGAACTTCTGGGTGACCGCCTGGCAGTCGTCCACGTCCATCGGCTCCTCCACCCAGGCGAGGAGGGCGTCGCGCTCGGCGACGGACTTGGTGTAGAAGCCGGTGACGAGGCCGCGCAGGACGACCGGGTTGAGACGACGGCGGGTGTTGGGCAGGGTGCGAAGGGCGCGGAGCACGAAGCGCGGCTCCTTGTTCTGCACCGCCTTCTCGATCTGCCGCGTGTGCTCGCGGATGTCGCACACGGTCTGCATATCGGTGTCCCTGCGCTCACCCGCCCCGTCGCCGTCGCCGTTCTGCGCGCCGTCCGTCGCGCCCGCCGGATTCACGTCGACGTCCATCGCCTCGACGTTTCTGCCGCTCGGCACGCCCATGATCACGCTGTCCGCTGGTGATCGTTGACTTCCCGCACTCTACGCCGACAGCTCTCTCGTTCACGGTGCTCGGGACGGAAGGATGGGGTTCCGGATGACCGTTCAGATACTCATCATCCACCCGATCCAATACCTCGTATTTGTGTGCTGATTTGTGCAACTCACCGTACGGTGTTTGCTCGATTCGAGGTTAGGACGGCCGCGCGCTCATTGGTGCGCTGGACTCAGGAGAAACTTTGGGGGAGACCATTGACAATGTACGCGAACTAGAGCTGCGGCAGTAGAAAGATAAAAAGTGCGATATTATTTTTTAAATGTTGAATTTGGCAAATTTTATAGTTAGTCGGAGATTTTCCTAATGTCAACGTTATATTTAACTATTACTCTCTCTTGTTAATGTTAATGTAAACAATTTACTTGTGCTATGGAGGGAGTCCCGCGTCCCATGTCCCACGTCCCACGATCTACCTGCACTGCGTCTGAATTGTCTCGACTGTCTGGAGTACTCCGATAACCGCGGCGAGTTAGGTTAGGGTGCCCGGCGATTAGGCAAGTAAAGTATTCGGCAGGTGACGATGGCCTCTTCGCGTGTGGAAGAGCTAATTAACTATTTTAAGTCGCACAACAAAATCCGGGAGCAGCAGAGCCACTCGGCGAAGGTGCACAGCGTGGGATGGAGCTGCGACGGCAAATACCTGGCCTCGGGCTCCTTCGACAAGTCCGTTTGCATATTCTCGCTATGCCCGGATCGCTTGGTTAGTAAACATAACCTGCAACCTGTAACGAATCCCCGCACGGCGTCTCACTTTAAGACCCAGAGTCTCCTTCGCAAAATTTAACGGTGATACTTTAATCGTTTTTCTGCAATTGTTTATTTCTTCGTAAAATTTATAATTACAGTAGAGAACTGTATGTGTGAATACTAATATACGGTAACCGGCCTCAGGATGTTTATTCGGACATCACCAGCTGCTTCCTTTTTTTTAAATAATTTTTCTTGGTTTGTAGAAAAGATGAAATTTTCTTCTTAGGAGAGGCATGTGATTATGATAAATTCAACTGTATTGCTTTCCCTTTTCTTGGGGTAGTTATCCTTTCAGAAAAATCTTACAATGGCAAGTAAAGAATCAAATGATATATTGTTTCGAATGTTTTTTAATTTTCTTCATAAATGTGTCCATTCGAATTTGAATGCCTTTCAAAAAATTGCATTTGGCAGTTTTAAATACTAAAAATTTACAATTTAGAGAACAATTTGTTAAATATTCGAAATGCCTTGCATCAACCTCCATCTGTTATTAAATTGTTTTAATATTAACGCAGTTCTAATCACAGATTTAATTACACGGTCCTCAACATAAGTCCTTTTTTTTATTTAGAAGCAGGAGACGACTTTTAGAGGACACGGCGGCAGCGTGGACCAGTTGTGCTGGCACGCCTTCTCTCCAGAATTATTATCCACGGCGAGTGGCGACAAGACGGTACGCATCTGGGATACGAGGACGCAGAAATGCACGGCGAACATCAGCACCAGAGGGGAGAACATCAACATATCGTGGTCGCCGGACGGTAACACGATTGCCGTGGGAAACAAGGAAGACCTGGTGACGTTCATCGACGCCCGGGTGATGAAAATACGCGCGGAGGAGCAGTTCAACTTCGAGGTGAACGAGATCTCGTGGAACAAGGACTCGGACACGTTTTACCTGACCAACGGCCAGGGCTGCGTGCACATACTCAGCTATCCGGAGCTGGAGCTGTTGCACGTGATCAAGGCGCATCCCGGCACGTGCATCTGCATCGAGTTTGACCCGACCGGCCAGTATTTCGCTATCGGATCCGCGGACGCGCTGGTCTCCCTGTGGGACGCCGACGAGTTGTGTTGCCTGAGGACATTCTCGCGACTGGAGTGGCCGGTCAGGACCATCTCCTTCTCGTATGACGGGCAGCTCCTAGCAGCGGCCTCCGAGGACTTGGTCATAGACATCGGTGAGGTGCAGACCGGCGAGAAGATCGCCGATGTCCCGGTAGAGGCAGCGACATTCACTGTCGCGTGGCACCCGAAACAGTATCTCTTAGCTTACGCGTGTGACGATAAGGACTCGTACGACCGGAAACGCGATGCCGGTAGCTTAAAGGTATACGGTTTCGCGAATGATTGAATGACTTTTTGTACCTTTTTGTTCTGGGTTCGCACTGTTCTCGCGCGCGCGAAATGTCGTCTTGTTTTATATTTTATAAATATAAAAAAAAAGAATATAAATAAACTTGAGAAATACTCCACAAACACATTATCTCGTAATTGAGATCACGATGAGCTACATAAAAACTGGACTGTGTTCCAAAAATTGAGAACGATTATAAATACGAATATAAAAAATGGAAAATGTTTGTATAAACGCGAATATTAGAAATCTGACGCTCGATAAGATGTAATGATGTAATTAATTTAATGAGATACGTGTGTGTGTGTGTGATAAACGAGTCTAGAAATACTTTGATTTATCGGATAATTACTAAAATTCAGAAAATATTTAATATAAAAATAGGCTACATGTTTCTGTTGAACCTTATCGTATACTTTATATTACCGATCACACTCGGTATCGATTTATTGATCAAGATAGAGTATATTATCAAGTAATCAAGCGTGAACTTTGTTGTTGACCGTTCGGTCGGCATGGTTACCGTGTTTGGCTCAGGTTTACCCGAGACCATGTGAGTCACGTTTTGTTTTATCCGTACGGTCATCAGCGGGAACTTCGTGTTCCTCGTTGGGGTCTCGCCCTGCCTTCTCCGATGATATTCGTATCGCTATGGCGAATCGGGATGAAACAAACACCGTCTGCGAATGCCGGTACGTTCCCGACGAAGATGCGCGAGAGACGAGAGGCAGCTTCAATGACACCCGTAATATTCACGAGATCGACGAGGAGGAGAGCGAGACCGAAGAAACGACGGCTTTAGAGCGGCCAAGCGAGCCAAGTCCTTCCGCTACGGATGAAGAAGGCGATAAGGTTGTACGGAAGATTAAGGAGACGTCGGACGACGAATCCGTGTACACAGGCGAGTCCTTCTGCTCCGACGAGTCCTGCGACGAATCCGACGTCACGAATGTCACGTCAAGATCGCTGAACTCTTCTTCTCTGATCCGCGTCACTGATCTTCAGCTCAGCCAGAGTTTGGAGGAACAGGACATCGGGGTCAGCGAGTCGAGGTGGACCGACGATCAGGATGAATCTTGCTCGCTCAGTAACGAACCGTCTCGCGCTGCCACGGCGGACAGGGACAGGTTTGCCAGATCGAGGAGGTGCAGACGATGGAACATGAGCTTCACCGACGAGGAGATGCGCAAGATCGGGTGGGAGAACGAGTTGCTGCTGAGGAAGATCATGGCGCAACAGAAACCCCGGCACAAGATTCTCGGCGAGGATAACGTTCAGCCTAGGGCCAGCAGTTCCGCGATAAACAGGAAGAAGTTGCAAAAGAAGATAGAAAATGATAATGTGGTATATAATTTTCGATATCGCAGAAACATATTAAAAGATAGATGTGTATATATATTTTTTCGTACATCTCTTTTTTTCTACTTTTGTAAGTAAATTAAATAAAATTGCGAAGCGTATAACGCGAAAAACTTCATTTGCAGCTGCTCCAACGAAGGATACAACAGGCGAAGTCGTGCGTTTTCGCGAATACATCGAGAATGGGTTGCAGATTGACATTTTTGTAAAGTTTTTATAACATTGAAAAGGATTTTGTCATTTCCCATTAGAAAATGGTGTCAATAATCAGCCAACTAAGATTCAATAAACTGATATTTGTAGGGAAGTAATGGGTAATATAAATCATGGAGTTGTGCTTTATCGTTTTTCTAGTAATACGTATATAAATATCAGTGAGATTCTGAAAGAACTCGCGGCGTGGACTTTAACTCCGATAATCTATGAAGAAAAGTTCCTTATCTTTTCGAATATAAAACATTACTGTGCTCTTTTTTTGTGACTTCTTTATTAAAACACAACGATTACCAGTCTTGAAGAATAGGTACACATTTCTTTCACTTCGTATTTTGTGTATACGGCGCAAATCTTGTAAACACGTCTCTTGAAAATTTGCTTGAAGATATATCCTCTACAAGTCAAGACTATAAAAAATCACAGTTCTCACTCATCTCAAATAACTTAATTATCACTCATGGTTAATATCAAAATCGGGAACTCTCAAATATTGTGATAGTTCTCTTTTCCTTCTTTCTTTTTTTCCTTGTACATACATACACGGGCGATATCATGAGAGAAGATAAACTATAAAGGAGTGTATTTTGTGTCAAGGAGCAAATTATAAATTTCCGTATAATCAATGTATAACACATTGTTCCTTTAAATTAATATGTGCTGTGATTACAATATGAAACTGTATTTCCTTTTTCACTTTTTATATTCGATTTTGTAATTCCACATGTACTATATTTCTATTTCATTTCACTGTAATTGATCGGTCATGTTCACTCTTTTTTTAGCAAACCAAAACAAAAGAAAAAACAAACGAACAAACAAAAAAAGAAAATATTCGATTATCCTGCATCGAAGTATCTTTGCAAATAATTTAAGAATATCAATTTCTTTAAATAACGAAATAGAAAGTAAGAAGTAACATCTAGATTTTGGTTTAAGAGACTGTACGAAAATAATTCGTTTGAGAGACTATTCACCTGCGTTACTATCGTACAACGTAATAGTAACAATTATATCACAAAGTACGCTCAGCGCAGTAGCAACAAAACAACAATTTTCGACTTCTCAAATCTGTTATCGCGACTATTATTTTACCGTCATTAAGACCATTGGTTATCTTTTTCTCAACTTTCGCCAAAAAATCATGAAACAAGATATCACAAGATAAAACCTCTTCGAAGTTCCAAGTCATTAATCCTCGCGTTTCGTTCTCCACGATTCCGTCGACGATGGCGTCCATATTGTGCTGAGCGAACGAAACGGATCGAATCCCGATCTTTCCTGGAATAACAATTGAAGATTAAATTACGGGCTTAACGGTATAAAGATCAGAGTTCTTTTTACATTCGTCGGTCACGTACTTGCGTATCCGTCTCGGACTGTAACGTTTGCGATATCATGGGAGGTGCGGCCGCACCCCAAGGTGCCGCAGCCCATACACCCCCTGTGTTGATTCCCCATACGCCACGTTCCTCTCCGACCGCTGCCCTGGTGTGCAATGGTTCCCAGTTTGTATCAACTGTCCAATTATCTGTAAGTATACATATTAAAATCGTGTTAAGTTTTTTCAATTAAAAAAAACTTCTATTCTGAAACTAATTCTGATTACACTTAAATTTATATAATTTAAAATAAGAACAGTTTCGATATCCTTTTCTAAGTAGCTGGGCTAATATACCTTTTAAGTCCGACAAAACAGGTTTCTCCGGGGTTTTCGGCGACTCCAACTGAAATCCGTTCGTACTCTCTGACAATAAATTTATTATTGGACTAGTGTCTTCCCACAATTGGCACCGCGTGTCTTCTTCGGGGGTCTCCAATTCTACTAAAGGCTCGTCGGTCTCTGGAAGATCGTCGTATGGCACCAGCTCGCGTTCAAACTGCTGATAATTAAATTGAGAATTTTAATTTAATTAATTGAGAATTACATGACAATTTAAAGATTAAGTTAATTCGAACAGTGACTTACTGGATGCTCTGTGAAGGTATTGATGAAGTAGCTGTTCGAATGTTGCGATTCCGGCTGCAAAATTAAAGGCTCTGGCTCGAGTGATTTATTTTTGTTCACAGTTGTATTACAGAGAGGGGCTGGATTCGACATCAAATTGTATTCCTTTGGTGTTTGCGGCGACTCTTGTGACGATTGTGGCTTAGCGCATTGAACATCTTTGACATCGGTATTGAATACAGATACCGTGAACAGATTTGACGTACTCGTTTGACTCTTGTGATTCATGTGATTTAAATTGGAGAACGGTGAGACGATCTCCGGACTTCGCGCCACTACATCGCTGAACTTAGCTCTGTTCTCGCCCCAGCAGGAAGGTGGTGGTGGTGGCAAAGGAGTGGGCATTACTCCTATGCTGCGCGTTACATCCTCTTTTTGACTTATGTTTCCGTTCACAGGAGGAGCTGCAACAATAACGAATAAAAATTGCTATTTTTATATATGTGCAGGAAATACTTCTAGTACTTTTATATGTACATTATTAAGTGCTATTATAATAAATTTAACCAAAATTAATAAGTTAAAGAAAAAAGGGAAACATTTTACGCGATTCATTTAACAGATTAATAGGTTTAATTTAAAATAAAATTTTTTACATGCTATTACCGATTTAAAATTCAAAAATTCAAGAAAACAGGTTTGTAGCTATTCCGCGCTAATTCATTTCAATATCGTATATGAGTACATACATTTAACATGTGTTTTGTCAGTTACACGACGTTTCTGCACCGTTTTCTCCTTTCGTGGCGGATTCTTATTTTGACGTGACTTGAAGGATGACTCGACGGTATGTGAGTTATGAATATGATGCTTTGTGGTGGACCTAGTAGTGTTCGTCTTCCATCTATTTGGATTATTCTGCTTCTCCTTATCGTACTCATCGTCATCACAGTCGCCTTCGTAGTTATCCTTATAATCTATGCATGGCACAGGAGGAATAGACTGAGGTTTGCTCTTCTTAGATATCGGCTTCCTTTGTAGCTTCTCTTGTTTCCCACACAGATGATCAGAACTCTGAGAATAAATTACGAAAGAAAAATCTTTTTATAGATATCTCGGGAGCCTATATCTATTCACGTAACCGATTAACAATCGATATATTAATTCTGGGACAAGAGTTCCATTATTATTTAACAATAATCTTTTTGCAAAAACCTATCTAATTTTCAGCATTAAATCATTTTTACAATTAACACTAATATTGGATCTTTGAAAAATATAAAGTATAATCGTGGAATTAAAATTACTTGTATGTCTTTCAATGAGTTTACGTAAATGGGACTTACTTTACACAATGTCGTTTCATCGTGAGTCGAACTCTCCGTTGTCGTGGACGACGTCTCTTCTTCCGAAAGATGAACGGTCTTTTGAGTGCTCGCCTGTTCGAGCTTTTTCAATGAAACGTGATTATTATGGTTACTATTGTTGTTTCCACTGCTGTTTGTCTGTTTATTGCGCTTGTTGTCAGACTTGTTAACCCGATTGTTATTCATTATCGTCGTGTCCATTTGAACCTCGTGGTCATTCAACTTTGACTCCTCTTTGACACTCGACTGCGTCGTTGACTGCGTCTTTCCTTTTCTGTTCGACGTCGGACTTGACTTTGTAATTGCGTTGACATTATACTTCTTCTCTTGAATCAATTGAATGTCCGTGAGTGCATCGTTCGTCATACAATTGTCCGACTGGGCCTCTTGAACGTTGTTTTGTTTCTTATTATTCTTTTTCTTCGACGCATACGTACTTGTCATGTTCGCGACGTTAAGATTATTAATAACATTAGACGATTCCTCGCTTCGTTTGAAGGACAGCAAATCTTTGGACTCGATATCCAATTTAAATTTACGTTCTTCCTCGGCGGACCAGTCCGGGATTTTCAATCCCTTCTGCGCGTCCTTGTCCTTGCACTTTTTCACGTTCATTAACGACCAGTCCGCGAACGCTTCGTCTTTCTTCGTCTTGCTTTTCTCGTCGCTTGTCGTCGGGATTTTCTCGTTTTTGTTAACGATACAACCGCTGCTGCCACTATTACCTCCTTGCGTCGTGTTGTGCGTCGAGATATGCGACAGCAGCCGTAGATCCAGAGGCGGTTGCACCGGATTCTCCTTCGAGTAATTGGCCAGGCCTTCCCGTAGTATTCGGTCCGCTTCGAGGAACGAGACCACGGCGACGCACAACATCAGTACCGATGAGAGGATGATAGCGGCCTTCTGCACCGCGCCTTCCCACGACGGTCTGGCAAGCACCGACGCGCATAAATTTAACGAGTGCGCCGGCAAAGTTGCCAGCAGATTAAGTATCACCACGCCGTTCTCAACGTTTTCGCCGGCATCCGGTCCCATGCTCGTCATCACCAGCAGCTTCCGTTCCACGCGCGACAACGTGAAGTCCGGGGTGAACGCTATCTCGATTCTCTTGGTAGCGTTCGGACTCAATTTGAAAGGCGTGCAATCGAGCACCTTGAAGCCGTAACCCTCGCAATGCCAGTCGTTGATGTAGAAGCCGTAAATCTCGATCGGCAGCTCCCCCGTATTTCTAGCCGTGAAAGATCGCTTTACGGTGAGAGTCGTAACGAGCTTGTTGCGATCTCCTGGGGAAGAAAAGCGTTATTATAAGAAAAATCTCCTCCTCTCGATTGCGACGATTAAGGCGAAATTAGAACCGTCGAGAAATATGCACGGTGCAAAAAGAGTGTTGATTTAAAATATGCCTTACGAGTGTAACAACAAGACAGTAAATTAAACACGTTAAGAAGATGTTGTATCTTTTCTTTCGAGATTATGAGACAAAGATTGAGAAAACGTACATACGTTCACAATCTTTAAGATGCTTATCCGTTAGTTCGAATAACAGAGGCGTAATCGATCCCGGCTTGCGATGACCGAATCTAAATTGTGCGCTCGCGCCTCGGCCGCTCATACGCAAGACTTCTAAAATAGTCATATTATTTCTGGAAAGCCAGTAAAATGTGCGTCAATAAATAGGGCACCTGCACATTCTTCTTTTTTTCTCTCTCTCGCAGTCTCAACTTACCTAATATATAAAAAACCAGACGACGCCGAAGTGGAAAAGGGTGTGTATGCCACGCGAATTGTTCGCGTTTCCGAAGGGTTTAAATATAAAGGAAGCGATTGAGGCGCTATCGTTACACCCCATTGTTTCTCAAACAATTCTCGCTCATCCGCATTCTCTTCTAGTTTGAACTCCTCCGGGATAGTGGACGAAAATTCCGCATAAACAGGCTTAAATCTGTGCAATATCAATTTTTTTTTATTATTAATTTTTGGCCTGAATAAAAATGACTTGCAAAACGATTGTCAACCAGATAATAATCGATTACGTACTTCATTGGCAAAGAGTGATAAAGACGCGCTCCTTGAGGATAGTTCCAATCCATAACCAGCTGAATTATCAGCGGGCTCGCACTCGGATTGTGCAACTTGATCGCTCTGTACGACGTGTTTCCGACTTGAGTCAATGGGAACATCAGGACACTCTTGTTCCTTATGCTACTGGAGCCGGCCAACAGGCTCGGCCAGTACGGTTTGATGTTCACATAAAATTTGTGACTGCGCACTTCGGTCGTGTCCAAGCGCATCGTGATGTTTTCCCACGAACCATCCGCGGTGGAGTTGATGAAGCGCACGTGTCGCGTGTTCAAAAAATTCAAATCGGAGTCGCGCGTATGCGAGGGAAGGCTCATCGTGTTCAACCACTGACTACCAGCTGTAAAAGTGAAATGTAGTTACACGCGACTGAACTGATGTAACTAATGTAACAATTGTATAATCATAAAAGTGAAAATGCGAAATGTATTCCAAGTTTACGAATAGCGAAGTACAAATGAACAATGTATCACTTACTGTTGGTATCCAGTGATAAACCTAAATAACACTGCTGCTTGCAGGTCACCGAGGGATCGATTTGTATTGAGCCGACATTATTCTCGCCCTTGGATATGACCGGCATCGTAGCTTCCTCCAACGGGATGTACTTTATTCTGTCGTCCTTGTTTATGGGTGCGATATGCGTCACCTCCATCGGTCTCGAGAACGTAGAATGCACCTTCACTTGTTGCACACAGATCGATCCCTGTTGGTTGAGAGATCACATAAAGTTACACGAATGTGCGTCACGTTGAGGAGTACTGGTTCTGGAAAGATGGATTACCACTCACAGGGAAGCAATCAGTAAAAATAAGCTTCTTCAAGGAAATCTTGCCGTGCGCAACCCGCATGTACACCGGCAAAGTAAATCGCTCGTAGGTCGTTCGCACGAAAACATCGCCAACAATCGTGTCCTCCTCAACCATTGGAGTCTTCACTTTAATCTTAAAGATTGCCAGAAACTCCGGTTTTATGTATTGCTGAAATAAAAATTATACACATGTATTTATAGGTTAATCTATAGCATTACATGTGTAACGTATAAAATGCAAATTTATCGTGCAATACTCACATTTCCAGAATGGCTGCACACGGTTATATTTCGAAATTCCTTATCCAGCAAATCCGCGGGTCCATTTTGACATCCCATCAATTCTAAAACTGCACCAGGCATATTCACACCCCAGCTGTGTAGCTCCACATTGACGGGGTTCTGATTCTCTAGCGCAAAAATTGCCTCGTTCTCGGTACCGCTCCCCACAGTACCAAAATTCATTGTTCCCATATCGTCTTCCTTCTCGCCCGGCATAACTTTTTTCAGTTTCCCGTCATAACTCAACACCGGAACTTCGGTCACCGATACGTTTGAATGTATCAATATCGACGACTCCATCTTCACGTTATCACCTTTCCTTTCTTTGGCAAGTTGTAAAGAAAATATATTGACCTTCTGTTCAGGTTTTATTACTCTAGGAATAAAATCTTTTATCTGGAAATATACATCAAATTTTTTTTTTATTTTAAAGAGTAATCGAGAAATAATTAAGAAATAAAAAGAAAAAAAAAGTTACGTTGGGTGTCCGTTAAAGAAAAATAACGATTCTTACCGTAAAAAGCGATTTCGCGTTCGAACACATCGTGACATTCGTAATAGCTAATGGTAATTTAAATTTATTCACCACGCTAAAATTCCGGGCTTGATTGGATTGCGGAGAACAATAATGAGTAATCGATGTGTTTACTTCTAATCCACCCTGCAACACTTGGGCTACCCAGGGAATTGCTAATTTCTGACTAGAACCACCTGGACCTATTGCTTTTATTATTAATTTGCCTTTGAAGTGTTGCAAATCCAAACCGGTTTTCCCTAAGAACATTAATATGGAAGTATTCTGCATATAGTAGCGCAAAACATCTTTTTATAGTAGGTAATGCGTTATCTTACAATCGTAAACCAGCATTCCAATGGCGATTGGTATATCTGTCTCTCCTGGAATTATTGCTGGCTCAAAATGCAGTTTTAATGCTTTCGATACAGGTGTATTTATAATATTCTACGAGAAATATTTTGTTTAGTAATATCTTGAAATTGATAGATATTAACTTTCTCTTCTAAAACGACTCGAAAAGATTTGAACAATTCTTGCACAACTTACCACAATTTTAATTGCTTTTTTCGCGGAATTTTTTAAAGCAATAGGGTGGCGAATAGGCGGCTGCAACGAGCCACCCATACCTAAATTAATTATTCCAGAACTTCCACCCCAATGAAGACCAGCTCCACTTTTGACTTCTACTTCGACCGCTACCACAAGGATCTCAGCAGTGTTATTCACTTTAAATCTGCAACATAACCCAATTGTATATACTAAAATATGCCTAATATTTTAAGAATACAGCCTACTCTATATTTCATATACCCACCTAACATATGCTGTATGATTCTTTTCTGCGTAAGCATTAAAAGTTAGTCTGATGATAGGCTTCGTTTGATAAGGTAAAATTTCCCATAATTCACGAGAGCCTTCTGGCTCGCCCGATGGTAATTCCAATTGAAATTCTCCGCCACTACTATATACTTCCATCACCTTTGTTTATGCAATACAAATAGAAAAAAATTAATTACATAATTGACCGATACTTACATAATCCATACATGCATATAAATAATTCTTTTTATAGATAGTATTATCTATTAACATTTACATACTTGTAAAGCTTCTGGATGTGGATTGTGCATATATATAAGAGGTGTAAAAGATGCATTTAATGGTAACTTGACATCAACTACAGGTCTGAGTCTATAAGGACTACTGACACTTATTCCTTTGACCTGCACAGATTAAAAAATACTTTATTGCAGGTATAGGTATATTATTCAGTATTAATATTATAACTGTGATAAATTCTTTATTACCTGATACTTTAGTGTCCCATCTGAAGTATGTATAAAAAGGTGTGTATCAATGTCACCTTCGTCTCGACCAAGAAACACGACATTAAATGTTGTGTTGCCCAGTGGTGGAATTACCTGGTACAAAAAGAGATATTAATATTAAATAATTATCCACAATTTTTAAGATATGTATGAGTAAATTAGACATTTAAGGATCATAAATTAACGTTAGACATATCTATATCTTTAAATTAATCTACTTCTTGTTTCGATTACTGTCATACCACTCGATAAACTTACTTTGTTTTGAAAAAACGATGAATGGAAATGACGTGTATTTCCCGATATCGATGAAAGATGTATAGTTTTATTATGATCTTTGTTAAACATGATCACAGTTTCTTGGTGAGGAATACCAAGTTGTCTGAAAGATTACACTGTGTTATAATTTAACTTCTATGATCACCACCGAATCGAGATTACGTTAAACGATACCTTTCTTTGAAGTCCAAGATACTTGGCTCGAAAGAAATGTGAGAGAACGAATCTTCCATTTTATCTTCGTCCGATGCAGCATCCCTTAAAAACATGACGATGCGGTTTAACAATTAATCAGTACATCCTGGATGCGCGGCAGTTCCAATAGTGGAAATTGAAAATAGGAAAGGTATAAGAAAAATTAGTTTTAAGTGAATTGGTTTGGTACGCTGTTAATAAAGCAATATTTCCCAGCTTTTCTCGTTAGAATGACATGATGAAATAATTGTCCAGCGGATGATTTCGAATAATGCACCTGTTTTAACGCATCGATCCCTCAATTAAAAGCACAAGACAAAGTATTACATAATAATTTCTCTAAAGTATACATTTAATGTTTACTCGAGTAATATAAGTGATGTTTACATAATGTATATATTGACAAAGAGTTTATCTGAATCAAGTATCCAAATACATTCTCCTTTATTTGCCTTTTTTTAGAACATATGACACGAAAAAGTTTGAATTATCTTATCTTCGGTTTGCTGACGGTTTTGCAAATCACCCCAAGCTTAGCGAATCTTGTTATGATTCATAAATCAAGCAAAAAGTATGACAATAAGATAACTCCGATGGCCGCAAATAAAATGTGTATAGCTAGACGCAGGGTACCCTGCGCAGTTCTAAGACGAGTATCAGAAAGAAAGATTATAACGAAATACCTTTCCTACTTCCACTCACCGTTATATCTTAATGAGTATTATGCTTACCCAGCCCCATGTACTGTATTAGCAAAATCCTACAAATAAAAACAAAAATTCCAATATAACAACTCTGCTGTACATGTCACGCTGTTTTAATGATAACTGATTTTATTCGAGGAACAAATTAATTGTTAGATTTACAACTCGTTTCTGTACTGTTTTTCATAAACGAATAAATGCAATTATTTTCTGCGTTCGCTTTGGGCGCTTTCGTGCTGAAAGCGTCAGTCCATCTTTATTGCTCGTTACAAAAGAAAGCTGTTGAAAAAAGAGGGAGTGATGCTTTCAGCCCCAAAGCACTCAAAGCGAATGCAGCCTTTATGGTACCGATTACCTTAAAATACAAGTATCCTTGCATTAGATATTCTTCTTGTAAATATATTAGTTGATACATTTGATAAATAATAATTATACATACGTTGCATATAGCAAGTTTACTAACCTTATGCATAGATATTGGCATATTATCCAAAAGATATTGAACGTCGTTGTCATCCTGAACAAAGGCTACAAAATATCGAAATTCATATTTTAAACATTATCGCGTTACGTCATGTATAAAAATAATATAAATACGTATGCTACGTTAAATATATATATAAATATAAAAATATACGTTCAAGTTTTGCACACAGCTTCAAGCTCCAAATACAATTAAAATATAAAAAGCTGACGAGGCGACGGGTATTATATAAAAAATGCAAAGAGGTGACACCCACACAATAATGACAACTGCTAATTAATACTCCCCGCTAATACAATTATGTAAAATTAAGGAAATAAGAAATTTACGAAAACTGCAGGTATATACGAAGAAAAACAAAAAATCGCGAATATAAATCCGCAATTATGATCCGCAAGTGACATTCAAGCGCGTCGCTCGTGTTTTTCGTTTAAAATTAATCTGGGCATCGCGACAAACGTTGTCCCGTGGCGGAGGTGAAGTTTCGCGACGCGGGTTGCGTCGCGCGCAACGTAAACACGGGTCCTGACGGAGCAGCAGCGCTGCCCCGAGGTTATATCATTCCTCGATCGCGTAAGGATTTCTCAGAGAAATTCGGGGAATTTCGAAAGATGGGAATCGACCGTGAGAGGAAAAGGGAGAGAAACGAAGCAAAGCGTCTCGCCGCCGCGTCGGGACGCGGATCGCGCGTGACGGCGCGAAGCTCGCGGCTCGCGGCGCGTGACCTTCGTCGTCGCGCGACGGGTATATCGGCGACGGTATCACGCGCGGGGGGTATCGCTGAAAGCTTTAGGCACCGGTGGACGTGGTGGTGGGCCTTATCGCGCTCCTCACCGTGGGTCCCGCGCTCGCGTGCGTGCGTGCGCGCGCGCGCGCAACGCGGCCGATTGTTATTGTTGGATGCAAATCGGCTGCATCGAAATAAGTCATGCGGGGAAGAAACGGAGTGAGGGGGAGAGAGACAGAGAGACAGCGAGCGAGCGTGCGAGAAAGAAAGAGAGAGAGAGAGAGACACACACACATACAGAGAGAGAAACTCACCATTGTTGTGGCCGTGCAGCGACGGCCGGATCTGCGACGTCGCGTCCAGTAGCGTCAACAGGAACAGACAATAGAACACCTTTGACACGGGCATAATATAACGCCGCGACCGTTGCCGGCGCACTGCTGTCGCGTCCGCTTCTGCTGCCGTTGCACGCTATTTTGTCTTTGGCGGACATGAGAGTCCGCCTTCGGCCATACTCCGGTCAGAGAGAAGAATGAGAGACGACACGGCCTGGTTTTAGGTGATCCACGAACGCGATACGCCCTCTGGGATCGACGTAAAACGTGCACATGAACTACGTAGCCACCGTCCACGTTTGGGCCACGGGGTAACACATACGTGCACGATTTAGGTTGCGTTCCGTGCTAATGTCGGTAACGCAAAGTTATTGA